CTACATTAGTTGTCGGATCAGTTAAGCCACAGTACGACATATGGGGTGACACTGGTATGTATTTAATGCACAGTAATTGCATTATTAGATATTTTGATTTCATATTTAAGACTTCTTATCGGTTTTGCGTTAAGACTTAAGATTTATTAATACATTTTGTCTCATATTTGAGACACAATTACGATATCGTCTAATAATATATGGCATAAAATGGTTAAATATGTTGTTATAGTGAACGTCGCCAGTCGTATGGACACGAATGGACTGATCGATCGGATCCATACAACGGAAGAAGTGGGCAAAATCTTGATCGAGCTCAATTTCCCATATAAGCCCGTATGCAGGGGTGCTATGAATATAAAGGGGAAGGGAATGATGTCTACTTATCTCATCGATTCAAACCAGAAGGTTATGATTGAAGAATATTTAGGATTCTTCTGATATATAGCATAATAGCAGTGATAATGATTTCAAGTATTTATAGGTTTTATATATACAAGCATTCAATGTTTCAAATTATTGTATTTAAAAACTTTTTGATATACATATGAAAATATTTATAAATTCTTTAAACTTAACATAACTTTAGAAATAATAAATTTACACAAAAAAACTCAAACCTTTTGATATTATTTGTGAAATTGAATACAAAAAAAACGAAATCTAAAATAATTTAATATAATTAATATTAATTATGTATAAAATAGTTGCTTATAAGGGATGTACACAATAGGCATTGTATGACATACTAGAGTGCATTCTGTGGCACAGAATCTGTCACTCAATTCAATGCCAAAAACCCTAACAAACTGTTGAGCTGTTTGTGAATGGGTTTGTCTGTGGAGTCAATGCGCAGACTCTATGCGACCCAACGCTTGCCTCCCATTCAAAGACACATTTGTTTACAGAAAAGCATTACTTTTGGTATTGTCTGTCGAAAGCACACCATTTGACCGCCGATTATCACTCGATTGTCACCACATTTGGTCCATTAGACAGCGCACAGACATCGCAAAGACATGGCGGCCGAGACTGAGTACCTCGGGTTCGGGAATTTGCCGAATCAGGTCCACAGGAAGTCCGTGAAGAAGGGCTTCGAGTTCACACTAATGGTGGTGGGAGAGAGTGGTCTGGGCAAGTCCACCTTGATCAATTGTATCTTCAAGACTGGTCTCAAGACGGGCCGCAAAATACCGTCTGTTAACCAACAGTTGGAGTCCACTCTTAAGATCGAGACCAACACCGCAGACATCGAGGAGCGCGGCGTCAAACTCAAGCTCACCGGTCAGTACAATGACAGTCACTTCTTTGTCCATTTGATCCAATGTTTGTCTTTGTTTTGTTTGACTGACGCGCGCAGTGGTGGACACTCCTGGTTTCGGTGATTCACTGGATTCGGTTGACAACTGTAAGCCAATCCTCGACTATATCGACGATCAATACGAGAAGTATTTGAACCACGAGTCGGGTCTGAATCGGCGACAGATCGCGGACTCGCGGATCCACTGCTGCTTCTACTTTATATCGCCCAACAATTACGGTCTCAAACCGCTGGATGTGATGACAATGAAGACACTGCACAATAAGGTGAATATAGTGCCGATTATCGCCAAATCAGACTCACTGACCAAAGAGGAGGTCCAGGCGCTGAAGAAGCGCATTGTGGCCGAACTGAAGACTCACGGAATTCAGATCTATTCGATACCGGATTGCGATCCCGACGAAGACGAGGACTACAAGGAACAGGTGCGCCAACTGAAGGCCGCCATTCCGTTCGCCGTCTCGTCATCGCTGGAGACGCACGAAGTGAAGGGCCGTAAAGTGAGGGGACGGGCCTATGGCTGGGGTATTGTCGA